ACCTGGTTGTAGAAGGTAATGAGATTGGTCAAGCAAGACCTAGTCGCAACAAACCCGTGTTGGCTATCCCTTAGGGTGTTGGCATCTGCCAGTCCATTAAGGGTGGCCTCTTTTTAATAAACTTTTCTAAGACCTTCCCCGGGATAGAAGTCAGTCTGATGGGCCTATAGTTAGCCGGATCCACTTTTCTCCCTTTCTTGAAGATGGGCACCACATCGGTTTTCTTCCAGTCTTCGGGCACTATACCAGAGTGCCAGGAGTTTTCAAAGATCTGTGCCAGAGGCTGGGCTATAATAGTAGAATGAATGAGTGAAAATGGGAATAACAACAATGTTCCCCTGCCTAATGGACTTAAATGATGGAGCACCAGAAGTTGCTGACATTTTGGAGGTAATTTGTAACCATCTAACAGGGCTTGTTGCTCAGTTTAACTGGTATTTTGGTGAAATGGAAAAGTCACTACAAATCGACCGGGACTGGATCAGGGATCCATTTTCAGGTGCTACCAACAAAGAAATGCTGCACATGTTCATGAAGAAGACAAACTGATCGAACTGAGCAAACACAGCTTTTTACGTTAGAAGCATCAGAATTGGGATGAAACATCTCAAGTTTTTGGTTGGAAATTGAAACTGAATTTCCAGAGCTTACTAGGAAAGCAATGGAAGTCCTGCTGCCATTTGCAGCTACATATTTGTGAGCCTGGATTTTCTGCACTGGCTGCTATTAAAACAAAACACAGAGCAAAACTGGACATGAGGACGAGATGAGTTTGTCTTTCTAATATTGCTCCAAGGATTGAGGAGCTGTGGAAGACCCACTAGGCCCAAGTGTCCCACTGAAATAGCAAGATTGACATTACTTTTGGCTTATTTTGGGGTATTTTTCATTGAGATTTTATATTTTAAGATTTTTAGCTTTAAGATATTTATTATTCTGATGTTAAAGGCTTTAAGTTACAAATATTAAAGGACAATCATAATAACTTCATTGTACAGAAATGAGTTTATGCAGACACTTCATTAAGAGTTGTAATATTGTTTCCTATTATGTACTAATCCAGCAGCATATCAGGCCCAAACTTCTGTGGCATAACTATGATATATATATTTAATTCATAAATTAATAAAGCATTTAATGTTAATTAGTATAGCCTGCCTTATATCACATAATTGGTAACATTTTAAAAACAAGAAAAAATATAAAGGTGTAGATGACCTGAAACTGAGACAGAAGGGGTATGTACACTTGTTAAAAGGTTGAAAACCCTTGCTTTAGATAATGGTCAGTAGGTTTGCAACAATGTAGCAGTGCTTAAACAGTAGCTTATTATTGCCTCCTAATTACTTTCAACCCACTAAGCATAAGCCCACACACAGAGCCTTCAAATTGGGTCTATTAAGGTGCTGTTGTTGGTCAATGATCCTCTATTAACCCTTAATTTGAACTGAAATTTAATTTGAACTGTGAACCAATTTGCATCACAAGTTTTAGCAGGTCTATAAACAGCCTTGGTGTCCTCCCTGGCAGGCAGTCCACCACTGGGTTCATTGTGGGCTGGACCTAGCTTATGTTCATTTTTTCATTTCTTTTTTTAAATGGGTATTAATGCAGAAATACAGGTAAGAGAACATACGTAGCTTCAGTTGAATGGGATAAGTAAGCACAGTCATTTTAATTGCCTTCACCCAAACAAGGACTATACCTTGCCTGCCCTGCATTGCTGTGTGTTTCGATTTGCATCCTAATCATCTGGTCTTTAAGATATCATTGGTATTGTGTTAGATTTCTACTGTTCTACTAGGTTTCTCACGATCCTTCAGTTTCCTTACTCCAAGCTCAAAACTTAACAACAATCCTTGTGGTCTAATATGCACCATGGATGGGCTTTTCCTGTCAACCTAGTGCCAATCTGTAAATATTATCCTTGGAAATGGGATGCAAGAACTATGTTCCTATGGGATTCTATGCCTGTCTCTGCATTTGCTGAAATATGCTTAGCTGAAGCAGTTTAAATTTTATCCTTCATTATATTTTCCAGCATCTGTAAAACCTTTTATTACTATGCTCCTGTTTGGAAGATACTGAGGACTATAGGAGTAGACAGAGACAGCCAAATAGCTGTAGCATGTCTCATTACAGTTTTGCCTTGTTGCTATTTGAGTATTACTGGAAATAAACTATTTTGGAGATGCTGTGAACATACGTGTCTGTCTTCTCTCCTTTTTTGCAGCCTTCTGAAAAGAGCAGCCGTTCCAAAAGTACTGGTGTCTTCCAGGATGAAGAGCTGCTGTTTAGTCACAAGCTCCAGAAAGATAATGATCCTGATGTTGACCTCTTTGCTAGTCCCAAGAAGTCCAAGGTAAATTCAGAGCTCTGTTCTGAATCTCCTGTTTGAAGATGGAATCTTCATACACATGGTTGCATTAGGTCCTTTTGCTGAGATGTTGATGGGCCCAATCACTGCCCTCCATCCAGGAGAGACTGATACATATGGATGTAGTATTCACTAGCAGCAAGAAAAATCTGTGATGCATTTTGTCTTTCAGTCTGCAAGCCGCAGCGTGAAGCTGTCCTTTGGAGGAGAGCTGTTTGGTGATGATGAAGAGGATGATCTCTTCAGTACTGCTAAAGCAAAGCCCCCGGTATTTGCCACTTTATTATAAATGACTTCTTTGAAAGGCCTAGGAAAGTGGAAATGAGTATATGGGGACTGTTACAGAGATTTCCAAGTGAAATCAGTAGGGTAGAATCTCTCTTTAAAGTACAGGGAGTCCTCGGACTTGCAACGTAATTGGTTCCTGAAAACTGGGTTTTAAGTCGAAACGTTGTAACTTGGAACTGTTTTCCCTATAGGGAACAATGTTAAAATGGGGATTTAGTTCCTCAACCAAGGTCCAATTACCCTATTTTTCACCCAAAATAACCCAGAATTTTGTACTCAATCAATTTTAGATGAATGATATACAGTAAAACTCTGTTATCCGGCATCCCCCAGGAATGGGGGATGCTGGATAACAAAATATGACAGTTAATTGAGCGACCCGAACAGGCATCCTTGCACAGCATTGCTGCCCCTCCCGTGGGCCCTGCAGGCCCCATGGAACTGGGAGGCGGGCCCCACGCAGCCTGCTATGCCCCGGGCTGTGGGGGCTCAGCAACACAGGCTGCTTTGCCCCGGGCTGTGGGGGCTTGGAGGAACTGGTTTCACTTTACCTTACAAGCAGGCATGCAGTTAATAGAGTATGCTGGCTTTTAAGGTGCCAGTTGATGGGAGTTTTTACTGTAGCTACATTAATGTATTTATATTGTAAATAGCAATCATATTGATTTGGAAGGAGATCTTTGAGGTGACTTTGCTGGACTTTTTGAAGGGCTCTTGGCTGGAGTCTTCTCAGGAGTCCTGGCTGCAGGCTTTTTTGAAGTCTTGTCTACTTTCTTAAAGAAAGCATCCAAGGAAGTTTGAACAGATGTTCTCCAGGGAGATGGGTGATGCAGCAAACTTGTTTGCTGATGTGGCTTTGCATCAGATCAAGCGTTGTAAAGTCGAAACTGACATCAGAAAGTTGAAATGGTGTCAATTTTTGAGTTAGCGGGATCTTTCTTAAGAGACCTATCCCCTGTGCATCTTCAGGCTCATGTACAATTTATTCATAACTTCCCCTGCTCATTTTTTATTCTCATTTCAGAAAGTGGCAGAAAAGAAACCAGTAACCAAAAAAGACAGCGGTGGCCCATCCTTAGAGACCAGTAACGTTCCTGAGCATAATCTAAATGCCAAACAAAATAAGGCACATAAGCCAGAAATCACTGAGGTATATACCCACATCTTATAACCCGGTCTTTTCCTGTTTACTGTTTATCATATCTCTAAGTTTTTAAATAGCTTCTCAAAACTAACTCCTTGCCTAATAAGTGGCAAAGCAGCGTGACGTTTAACACTTACATTGTACTGGGTGAGGTGTAGGAAATAACTAGTCCTTTTGGCTTTTTAGTAGCTTAACAGAAAATGAAAACTGACAGACCCTGTGCATACATCTTCCAAAACACTCCTTTAATTTTTGCTGTAGTAAATCTTAAGTTTTGAAGTGTAGGTAGCATGTAAGGAGAGACTTCAATACCGCAAGATTCTTTTAATGCTTCAGCTGTTTTCTAACTTGTCTCCAAGCACAACAACATTGGGTCTGATACCTTTTTGTTTGAGTAGTATGGCTGGCTAGATGCCAGACCAGAGCTCCAGCACTGCTGTGCAACTCTGGCCTGGTTGTATTTGATCTTGGTGTTACTTGACATCCTTGAGCAGAAAAGTGCTCTTTTTTTAAAACTGACTGCTCTGTTCCCAATATGCTGCAAGCTGGAGGCTCCTTCATCATGGGCTAGAGCCTCTGTGGTATAGCAGAGGCGTGGCACCCTTGTTAGACAACGTAGAAGAGCTGTGATAGAGCAATCAAAGGTGCATCAAATGGTGCTCCTTCATGGGGATACAGTTGGTTTTCTACTAGTAAAGTAACTGATGTTGAGTGACTTGCACAGGCTACAACCTGTGAATATTTCTTTGTGGGTAGAGAGAATGAAATTATGGGTTTGCTGACCTAGTCCTTTAAGTGATGTCATGTGTCTGGTATTTGTTACACCACAGGTATAAAACTTACAGGATGAGTTTTATACCTCTGGTAAGTCACCCAGGGCTACTTTGTGAGCCAGACCCAGAGTGCAGGGCTGCAGCATCTGGCCCATAGGGCTGCCCATCAGGTGGGAAATTTGGTGGTGGCTTGGTATAAATTGCTGAGACTTCCCACTGCCAAATTTTCTGGTCCTGTAAGCCACCCTACAGGCCAGATGGCATGGTTTCATGCTCCAGAACCAACCCATGGGGCTTCCCACAGAGCTGGAAATTTGGGAGTGGCAGCAGCTGTAGCATCCTCTGGTCTTTGTGACACCAAATTTCTGGCCTTGTGGGCAGTCCTTCCAGCCAAATGGATAGCTCCCGTGCTCTGAATCTGGCCCATAGGGCTCTACAAGGCTGGAAATTTGAGGGGAGAAGCAGTAGCAGCATTAATTAATGGGAGCTGCAGCTATTACCACTGCCACCGCTCATCCCATCATCACATTTCCGACTCTGTGGGCTGGATCTTTGGCTCTGTGTTACATGGTCATCTCTCCAGAGTTCACAAAGAAATGCAAAAGAACAAAAGTAGCTTTTTCCTATGGATGCATTAAAATGCATACTGCACACCAGATAAAGATTTCTGTTGCATTTGTCCAGCTGACTTTTAATCCAGTGTAATTTTGTACAGAAATCCACAGGTCCTGCTCCCATTAAAACCAAAGAGCCCTCGTCTCGGATTGGAAAACTACAAGTAATTATTTTACTGGCATTTTAGCTTTAAAAATCTTCTTTGCCTCACTAATGGCTCTTTTAATAAAGGAAAAAAGAAAGAAAGAAATGATGTTCACCTCCCCTTTCTAATTGTCAGCTTTTAAGGCCTCTTTTCAGATGCAGCTGATTTTTTCAATTGTTGCTTAGTGCATATTGCATGTTTAATATTTTTTTGTTGTTCTTTCTTCCCTTTTGGGAAACTGATTCTGGGAAGCACTATCTAACTGTGCTTCTGAGTTTGGGGGACTTTCCTGAACTATTGTTGCTTTCTTTGGCACTATTTCTCAAGCATGCAAACAAACTCTTGTTTGACAGTCAGTCATAGAATGCTGGTACAGTAGCATATACAGGCCTTGTATGATCAGAGGCCTGTTCTGCAAGCATAGTACAATCGTAGTGAGACGGGGGAGGGGAAATGAAGGCACAGAAAGATGAACCGACCTGGCCAGTGCTAGTGGCTAAACCAGAACTAGAACTCTGCTCTTCAAGTCCTACATGAGTGCTCTGTCTGCTAGTCCATGCTGTGTCTCTCCTGTGCTTTCACCACTCTTATGGTAGTACTAATACAATTTTGTTCATACTTCTTAGGCTAACTTAGCTATTAATCCAGCAGCCTTACTACCCAGTGCAGTGCCCAAGATCTCCAGCATGAAGCCTGTACTGCCAACTTCAGAGACTCCAGTACATGAGCCTGATGGCATACAAAGCACTGAAACCTTTCGTACTGCAGGAAGCAATGAAGGGTCTGGCGTGAGCTTTGAACATCCCATGCAAGCAGAAACCTTGCACAGTGCCAATAAGGTAATGTCGGTGCCTAGATTAAGTGTGCATCACTGCTGTTAGCATGATTTTGTTGTTAGCAGAAAGAGGAGGGAGCTAGAACTACCTGAGGTGGAACTTTCTATGATTCTATAATAGAAGCTCCCCTTGCTTCTGGGAGAGCACAAACACTGACAGTGGTAGGCTGGGGAAGGAGATGGAAGGAAGGAGATATGCCTCTGAAAGGGGACAGGGGTAATTCTTATTTTCTTTGGGATTTAAAAAAGTTGTTAGCTGCTGCTTCCTTGTGCAGTCTGCCCTCTTTGGTGGTGGGGAGGAGACTGGGAGCAGGGGTGCAGCCATACTTGCAGCACTGGTCACTGCTCCAACATACCTTTTGCAGAATAGAATCCTGGATCTGCCCCTGCACATGCTGCCACATAGCCAAGGGCTGTCTTGGAGAGGGAGAGATGTTAATTCAGTCCATGCCCCACCCCCTTGCAATAAAGGAGAGAAGTTTAAGTTAGCTTAGGAAAAAAGTGTTTGAGAAACAACAACATAACACCAAACCTGATCAATGAAGAACATTGCTTACATGCGTCCCAGCAATTCTCTCCATCCTCAGGGGACATTTGACCCCTCTTGGAAGTTAACTTTCTCAAGGTAGATGCAAAAGTTTGCAATTTTACCCCTCTGGAACCCACTTTGTTTAGCATATTATAGAACAACCTACAGCCCTGAGGCCAGATCCAGCCCACAGAGAGGCTGGATCTGGCCTGGGGAAGGTCTGACCCAGCCAGGGATGGTATGGAAAATCAGGTGGTATGCGGCCGCACCAAGTTGTGTGTCCCCTCCTCAGCAATCCTCCACAGCTGTCCCTGCTGCTGTCTTAGGCCCATGCTTACTTTTGCTGCAGAGGGGCCTGGGGCTCTGCAACAAGGGAACCACAGGCAGCATGAGCTCTCAGGGGAGCAGAAATATGCAGCAAGGAACCAGGGAAGCAAAATGTTGCTGACTAGATCCCGATTATAGCATGCTTTCACAGTGTGTTCAGTACTGAAAATAAAGTTTGCTGTAAGACAGTGCACGAGTGCATAAGCTTCCAGTCCACCCAGGGCAAACAGATGGGTCTTATCCAGAAGCTGCAGGATTCCAAATCAACCCTGCTTCTCATCTAGTAGCAATCAGTACAGTTTAAAAAAAAAATCAATATTAAGCCCCTCAATTATCTCATTCAAGTCCTTTTTGCTGAAAACAAGAGATTTATAGATTCATAAAAACCCAGACTGAAATCATAGTTGCTCAATTCAAACCCATTTAAACGAACCATTAAGCCCTTAAGTATAATAGTTTTCACAGTCAATAAAATAAAGGTATGAATAAAAACACCGAGAAGCACAGAGCTGTCACTTAAGCAGTAGCATTTTTTTGTCAAGTAAATGTATTACTGAAGGAGTCAGGTATTTTTTTTTTTCTCTCGTCACAGAAGGGTACAAAACAGGCAGCAGCTCCAATGACTTTCCTACCACTGTCAGTCAGCTTCATACCTGACGTGGAATGACACCACTAATATCTCCTTGCTAGACTAAGGAAAGAGCATTCTAATAGGGAATAGCAGTTTCCCTTGGGCAAGTTAGACACAATGCTGTATGCTCAAACATGCAAAAACCTTTTACTTCCTAATCAGAAAGCCTTCCATACACAGAACTGCATATAAGGCATACATAATGTAGGCGTCATGTGTCCTATGTACCCTTACAGGCCTTATGTGCTTTGCATAAGCAAAGCTATAGAAAGTTAAAGTTCATGGAAGCTCATTCACATCAAATTAATTTCTTAACTGTCCAAAAACTTCAGTATCGTCTTCCCCCTTACCAGTCAATTAGGCTTAATAAAAATGAGATGGTTACATAGATGCCTGAAAAAAATCAAGCACAAAGTTTTTAATGCCAACTTGAATCATAGAAATTTAGGCTTGGAAGGGACCTCGGGAGGTCATCTAGTCCAGCAGTTCTCAACCTTTTGCACCTTATGTCCCACCTACATAAGGTCAAAAAATCCTGGTCCTACTGGTTGTCAAGCAGGGCAGGGGGTCCCCCAGAGGCCAATCGAAGCGTGCAAAAGGAAAACCAGAAATCCCACTGTGGCACTTCTGGTTTCACCACTGCAACTCAAGTCCCACCTAGAGGACCTTTGCATCCCTTCAGTGGGACACATCCCACTCGTTGAGAAACCCTGATCTAGTTGAACCCCCTCTCAAAGCAGGACCATCCCCAGCTAGATCATCCCAGCCAAAGCTTTGTCTAGCTAGGTTTTGAAAACCCCCAAGAATGAAGCTTCCGTCACCTCTCTGGATAACCTGTTCTAGTGTTTTAGTACCCTCCTAGTGAGAACATTCTTCCTAATAGCTAACCTAAACTTCTCTTGCTGCAACTTGAGACTGTTGGTCCTTGTTCTGTTATCTGCCACCACTGAGAGCAGTCCAGCTCCAGTATGTCATTAGCCTTCTTGGCAGCAAGGGCATGCAGTGGCCTATATTCAGCTTTATTGTCCACTAA